GCTTTTCGTGACCCCCGGAGCCCGAGCGACCCCAGCGGGCGCCGCTGAGCCCACGGCCCGCAGGACCTCCGCCGCCAGCGTGCGCCATGTTGGAAGTGAAGCCGCGGCGCCCCGCCCCCGCGCGAAGCCACCTCTGCGCATGCGCCGCCCCGCCCTGGGGCGGGGGCTCGCGGCTGGTGTGGGCGTGGCCTCTGGCGGAAGGCGCGGCGGCCGCCGGCCTTGAAGTCGGAATGCTAGGACTCGGGACTGGGACTAGGCGGCCCGAGCCTTGCTGCCAGCCTTGTCGGGCTGACGCAGCAAACGACAGACAGCGTTTACAGATTTCACTTTAGTTGAGGAAAAAAGCCAGACGCTGTTTCATGATACATGAAAGTTCTGCGAAATGCACATTTCAGCGCTGGTAGACACATTGTACTGGAGCATGATCTCGTCCCTGTTTCTGTCCAGTGCAGTCTGTGACAGCCTGCATGGAAACAGCTGGTGGATCCCTGCTTTATGGGGTCGACGTGGTAACGGGGTGTGGTTTGCAGCACCCCGATACAGTGCTCTGGACGGCGCACTTTAGCTAATGGTCCTCAGCTTAGCCCAGCTGCTCGGAGCTTGGCCTCTGTCCCTTACCTCATCGGTTCAGGGGCCCAGGGACCTCCCTCCCAGCGAGGGGCCCGGCCTGGGCGGCATGAAGAAGCTGGGGCACATTGTGGACACATATGTAATCCCAGCACTCGGGGAGACTGAAGAAGATGATCACAAGCCTGAGTACGATCAGGGCAAGTTAGTGACTTAGTAAGATCCTGTTTCAAATTAAAACAAAAACCGGGAAAGCTCAAAGAAAGCGCTTGCCTGGCAAGCGCAAGGGCCTGAGTTCAATATCCGGTTCCGCAAAAAAGCCAAAATGCCCAAAGAACAGAAGAACTTTTAAAACGGGAGGATGCTGGGATTGTAACTCAGTATGAAAGACCTTGGTTCAATCCCCAGTACTAAAACACAAAGCAAAGCAAAACAAGACACCAGAATGAAACAAAACCCGGAGAACATGTATCGTTCCCTACCACTCCCAAACTTCCAAGGTCTCCCTGTTTCTTCCAAGCTGGACGCTAATCTCACACTTGCAACATTGCTGATTCTTGCAATCATTTCTGGGAGACTTTTCCAGCCAAGCCGCTGCTGTCTGTGGTACCGATCGTCCCAGGGCTGCCTGACCTGTGAGTCAGCAAGAGCCATCTCCTTTGATCCAGGGACTGTGCCCTCTCTGTCTAGAATCATGGTCCCTGGAAGCCCCTGCATGTCTGCCATAGTCCTCCAATTTTATCCTGGTTTTGTGGTTCATCTCTAATGCAGATCCTGGACACAGGGAGTCATGTCAGTGGATGTTTATCAAATACATGAATATTCAACAAATAACCCAGCAGTGTCTTGTTTTATATGTGGCGGGATGTCAAAATGCCAAGAATGAACGGATGTGATGCTACACATCGGGAATACAATTTTTTTTGTGTGTGTGGTACCAGGGATTGAACTCAGGACCTTGCACTTGCCACACAAGCACTTATTCCACTGGGCCATCTCCCTGGCCCTTCACATGGGGAATAAATTGTCGAAATCTAGTATGGAGCTGGCCCTCAGAGAACTCACTTTCAGAATAGACATGAACCAATCAACACACAAATGTGAAATCTCAACTGAAACAAATTTTTAGTGACAAGAGACAGTGGCTTTTCCTTTGTAGGTTTTCTTTATTTATTTCTTTTCTTTTTTTTTTTTTTTTGGTTCCTCGAATGGCTTCAGGGCACTTTTGGCCAGTAGGAGAGTTGTGAGGTTCGAACTCCAGCAACCTGAGGCTGAGAGCTTTGTGGAAGCAGCCACTTAAAGGCCTGAGCTAGGGCCATGCCCCCTCTTTATTTCTTTTTTTGTTTGTTTGTTTATTCCTATGTATGTGTGGTACATAATGTCAACATTCCTGTGGGAAGTTGTTAGTACATCCTTTGTTCATTTTCAAGTCACAGAGAAGGTGGCTGGGGTAGAAAGATCTCTGTGAGTTTCAGGACAGCCTGGGCTACATAGTAGGTTCAAAGCCAGCAAGACTCTATCTCATGATGCAAAACATACAAAAACTGGTGTTCTGAGAGGTACGGGAAGAAGCAGCACAGGATAATCAAATAGCAGGGCCCAGGGGCCCACTGCACGGTGCAGTGCAGTATGAGTTGAGGCCTTGGGCGCCGAGACCCTGCCTTCTAAGTGACCTCTGTGGTGCTGGCAGGGAAGCCACAAAGGTGGGGAGGAGGAAGTCGGGGACATGGCCATGGCGCTGGGTAACGTAGCAGGGAAAGGAGCAGGAAGCATACAGGATCCAAGGCTGCCATCCCAGAAAGGGCTCTCCAGGACCCCCCATCTGTGCAGGGGCTCCTGTAGAGGCAGCCTGGACGCCCTGCAGGAACCAGGGCTTTGGCAGTCTGCAGTCCACGCTGCACCACACATGGCTCTACACAATGACCAATGGCTCATGCACTGTGAAGACGGCGCCCATGACGCACAAGACCCCGCTTTTTCGAGCGTGCTGTTCTGTCCCAAGTTTCCCATCCACTGGACATGAAAAGTAAGATTCTTAGGTAGATCTTCCTTGAGACAGAATTTGTCAAGGTGGAAAAGACAGAATCAAGCTGGATGTGACAGTTACCAGGTTCCTGGGGTGCTGGGGACCCTTCTAGAAATTTCAAGTTCTTGTCCTGAACAAAGAACTGGACAAAAGAAGTGCAAAAGGTAGTGAGGTTTTACATTTATTAAGGGAAGGAAAAGATACATGCTTTGAGAGCGCAAGTGCAGGAATCCTATAGGGCGAGCCCACCATGGTGGCAGCGGCCAGGAGGTCAACACTACCACCTTTCCTGCTCCTTGGGATGACATCGGGTCCAGACCAGCCTGTCAGGGACTTGAAGCTAGCTAGCGCTCTCTGATTGGCTCCAGGTGCAGGCCTTAGCTGCTTGTCTCCTGGATCTCTGTGGTTAATGGGTCACATCCCCTTGCCCAGACAGCTAGCCGAGCCCTAATCTCCTGCCTCCGGTGTTCCTGCTGTGCCAGATACTGAGGAGGCTGAGGCAGAAGAATTGTAAGTTCATGGCCAGCCTGGGTAATATGTAGTGAGACCTCAACTCAAAATAATATTTTAAGTCTAAAGGCTGAGGGGAGCTCAGGGTGTGCCTCAGGGGTAGAGCACTGGCCTAGCATGCGTGAGGATCCTGAAATCCATCCTCGGTACTGGAAAGAAAATTAAAGACAAGACTTAAAGATTGCATTTGGAACTGAAGTAGTCCTCCCAGGTGTTGTAACCCAGTCTCTGATGTCCACAACAGTGTGTTACAGGGAGCAGGATCCCCACCCTCAGTGTGCATGCCGTGTCAGCTTTCTGTCACTATAGCAGGCACCCAAGGTAGATCAGTATAGAAAGGAAAGGTGCATTTAGCCCAGCTCTGCAGGTCTGAGTCGTGCTTGGTTGGCTCTGTCGCTCTTGGCCTACAGTGAGGCAGGGAGAGAGGGAAAGAGGTGCCATCCTCTGGGGCTCAGGGCTGGGAGCGAAGAAGAGAAAGAGGAGGGGCTGGCCACGCCCCTGGCCCCTCACTTTCTCTCTCTAGTCGCTGCACCGTAAAGGTCCTGCTGCTCTACAGCATTACCGCCAAGCTGGGGACCTGGTTCCTGACACATGAGCTTTGGGGGACATCCAAGCCGCAGCAGTCTTCTGGCAACTGTGAGGGGAGTCTCCTGGTACATTTAGGGTCCCAGGGGAGCTGATTTTGAGTTGATAAGCAGAGACATTGTGCTGGGGCAAGCCTGGCCTAATCTGGACAACATCTGAAGAGCCCGGAGGTCAGGACAAGAAGGGACAGTGCAATGTCTTGAAGAAGGACTGGGCAGCTTTGTAAACTGCCCAAGTAAGCAGGTGCGATGGCACACATCTGCCATCGCGGCACTCGGGAGGCTGAGATAGGAGGATTATGGCAGGCTCAAGGCCAGCCTGGGCTACGTAGTAAGATCGTGTCTCAAAACAAAAAAAGGGGCCAGTGGAATAAGCACTTCTCTGGCAAGCACAAGGGCCTGAGTTCAATCCTTGGTTCTGCAAAAAAAAAAAAAAAAAAAAAATCTAAAAAAAAAAAAAAAAAAAAACAACCCCAAAAGCCCTGCTTGCCCAGGGAGCTAGGTTCTTCCTGCCGTCCCAGCGAGCCTCCAGCAGCCTCTGCATGTCTCAGAGATGCATCCATGCAGTTGACCTGCACCCGCCCTCGGCCCAGTCGACTCCTAATTCTTGCCTGTAGAAATTAGGAGATGATGAATGTGTGGGTTGTTACTGTTGGTGTTGGTGGTTTATGTTGTTTTTGATTTTTTGAGACAGGGCTTCACTATGCAATTCAGGCTGGCTTTGAGCTTACTGTGTAACCCCGCTACCCTTAAACTCCCGGCAATCCTCCTGCTTCAGCCTCCCAAGTGCTGGGATCACAGGTGCAGGCCACTATTCCTGGTTGATAATGTACATCATCGTAAGTGACTTGTTGTGCAGCAATGAACTAGTACACCAGCTAGGTGCAGTGACACACATTTATAATTCCAGCTACTCAGAAGCCTGAGGCAGGAGGACCTCGAGTTCCAGTCAGCCTGGGTGATCTAGGGACGTGACCAGACCCCATCTCTGTATAAAATATGAGGGCTGGGAGTACAGCTCAGTGTAAGGGCCCTGGGAGACAAAGTATGCTGGCTACTTTTCTCTTTGCTGAGACAAAATACCCAAAACCTAGAGTTAAGGGAAGGCAGGTTAATTTAGGTTACAATTTGTAGCAATTTCAGCTCACAGCTGGCTCCAAGGCGGGGTGGCATGGCGGAAGGGTGTCACAGAGGAGAGGCAGTTCGTGGTGAGCAGAAGGCAGCAATGCATGGAAGTAGCGAAGCAGCAGCAGGCAGTGACAGCAGCCCTCTTTCTGTCCCTTATGTTCTACCCAAGCTACACACCCTAAGACAGCTAGCACTCACACTCAGGGAGGGTCTCCCCATTATCAGGCCTTCAGGCCAGAACTATGCCAAACAAATCAGTGGACTAATTTAGTG